TATAATGACATTATAATAAAATATATATTACGATTACGAACTCTTAAATTTGATAACCTTATATATTCTCAATATTTTAAAAGATATTTAATTATACCTTCATGACTACTCACAACCTTTCGTATAATCTATAATTAAACAATTATATTATTAAACAATCAAAAGATATAATTATAAGATATTGATTTCTTAAAATTGAAGATAATAAACTTTACTTTTATCAACAATTATTTCTAAACATATCAACAAGGTCAATCTGACTATAAAATTAGATTAAATAGTAAATACCATAAAAAATTCTTATTTTTATACCTAAACTTTTTAATTAATTTATATAATCAGATTGCAAATATACATTAATTATAAATAATATCTTTAAATAATCAATTTATATTAATACTAGATAGATTATTACTCTTATTAAAAACTCAGCTCTCTACTATACTTTCTAATATTATTCAAAGTTAAATAGATCACCTAAAAATCCTTCTTCATATTTATTCAGAAACTGTTATACTTGAACTTCTTCAATATTAATATCATGTATTATCAATCATCAATATGTATTTAGGTAAAAATAATAATGGTATTTCTAGGTGACTATATTTCTTTATAATTAGATCTATAGGTATTGGTAAATTATATATTATTAATATAATATTAAATATTCTTATCTGAAAATAATAGACTTATCTTTTACTAGTCTTAACTGGAGTAGTAACTTAAAATGTAGAAAGCATAACCATTCATTCAAAATTACAAATCACTTTTTACAAGAAAATTTTTGCATTAATACTTATATAAATAATGAACTAAGATTATCTGCCTATAATTATTAAAGAAATCTCTATGATCTATGCTGAACTTTTTGACTTTATTTCAAATATATTTGCTAATTTTCATAGTAATTCTTTGGCATTTAGCAGAATAAATATTATAACAGTAGAAGATCTTGCTCAATTATCTCTAGTTACTATTTAATCTATATTTCACACTTCAGTCTAAAAACTATTTTATCTATTATTCTTAAAAATTCTACATCATCAAAGTAGTGATGAAAAATTTTATTACATGTTAAAAAAGATATGTATAAATAATCTTTTACAGTAAATATAAAACAAATTTTAATAACGTCACTCACAATTTTTAATTTAAATACCACTTGATATATTATTAAATACTATTTATATTATAGATTTAAAGTAAATACTAATTTAATTAATAGAACAATATGTAACTTTCTTCCTATTCAAGAAGATAAATTCTTAATTTTATAAGTTATAGACTTTGTAAATACTGAACAATAGATTCTTTTATAATTAAATCAAATATTCAAACAAAAAATAAATCTATTACTATTTATTCGCTTACAACTAATTGCACATATTATATTTCTCAATAATTCTCTTATTAATCATAGTATATGCAATAGTACAATAGGTGTTATTATCAATATAAATCTTTTAGATAAATATATATAAGTTATTTTCTCTATAAAAGAATCAATCGTTGATATAGATATTTATAAACAAACTCATTATTTTGAAATCTATAGATATAATTGCCACTATACCCAATTTCTCTTACAAAATTACTTTACATTTACTGTTCATAAAACTCAAAGTCTAACTCTACCAAAAATATATATTGCTTTAGATAAAAATATCTTTTTTTTCAAGTCAAGTGTATATCACATTTAGTAGATATCTTTCCAAGAATGGTATAGAAATATCTCATCTTGATGCATCAGCCTTCAAAATTAATTAAGATATAATTCTAGAATATCAATGATTAGAAAATATTTCTCAAACTAGATCACATATATTTTCTTAATCAAAAATATCACTTTTAAATAAAATTTAACTTTTATTTAAATCATAATTAATTAATAATTTTAAAAATTATAAATAAATAAAATAAATTAAGCTAATATAAAAAAAATGTCATTTTCAAAAAAAAATCATATTATAATTGTAAAATATTTTATATTCATTAAAAAAAGAAATCATTATTTATATTTATTTAATTAATAAATAATTAATAATCGTCTTTAAAATAATTATAATATTTATTTTAATTTACTTGATACCACCTTATTCATGGCATGGGTACTGAAACAAAAAAAATATTGCTAGTTAATTATGAAAATCAAAATTGAAAATTTTTTATTTAATAAAAAAAATGAGACTTATTTAATTATTTTCTTTATATTTATAATTTTTAGTATCATATTACTTTTATACATATATTATATCTTTAATTTATACTATAACTTCTTTTTTAATAAATAATTATATTCTCTTTTATACTATATTTAACTTATAATTATTACTAAAATTTATATATTTTTCTTATATAAATAGAATTGGTTATATTCTTAAGATAAGTATGACTTATTTCTAAAATAAAATTTATAATTCTTCAAGTTATCTTAAAGTTACATAATAAAAAAAATTTTTAATTAGCTAATTAATTAATTATATAGGTAATAATTGATAATTTGCTTTATTAATTTTTTATTTAAAATCTAATGATTTATCTTATATTTATTTAGTTAAAATATTTTATTTTTTAAAAATACTTTTTAATTAGTTACTAAAAGATTTTTAAATAATAAAATATTTATTTTAAAGTTAGCTTAAAAAAATATTTTAAAGTTAAGAAAAATAAAATTTATTTAGAAATTAACTTTTTAAATATACTTTAAGTTTAAATGTTAAATATATTAAACAAATAGTATTTTTCAAAAAAATTGATAAATAAGAGAATATATAGATGTAAATAGTAAATTTAAGATTCAAGAAAATTATTAAGATAATAAAATTATATATTATAATAATAGTATACTAGTTTTAAATAAAGATTTTCTTTAAACTAAAAAATAAAAAAATTAAAATTTTTATTATATAAAAAGAAAAATATAAATATATTTTGATAAATCATTTTCACAAATATAAGATATCATATTGGGCCTTTGCAATAGAAAGGGAGGAAACTCCAAAAAAATTAAAATTTTAGTTTATAAACCAAAAATGTTCCAAATACTATAATTTGTTCAAATTTATTATTAACTCATTTTTTATTTTTTTTTTGAGTTTCCTCCCTTTCTATTACAAAGACCCCATATAAACTATTAATAATATAAAATAGATAAAAATAATATTAGTTTTTTAAAAAAATTATAATTTTATATATATTAAATATTTAATAAAATAATTTAATAATTAAAAATAATAGATTAAAATACTTAATTAGTTAATATAATCTCTTAATTCAAATCTAATAAAATATTTTTAAAATAAAATGTTATAAGTATTTTACAGTAAAAAGTAAAAAAATTTTTTTTAAATTCATATTAAATTTGAGTTTATTGTAATAAAAAAATTATATTTTAATATAAAAAATAAAATTTATTTTTTTTTATAAATTTACTTTTTACTATAAATTATTTATATTATTATATTTTATTATAATAATATTATAATAAAATAATTAAAATTTTAGTATTATTATAATAAATAAAGATTATATTAATTATATATATAAGTAGAATTAGGATTAGTATAGCAATTAGTATAATTAATACAGTTAATACATTATAATAATTAATTTAAAATTAGTATAAATACAATATAAATACAATTTTAAATTTATTTATTAATATAAAATTTTCAATCTTATATATAAGTATTTTGCAATAAAAAGAAAGAAAACTACAAAAAAATTTTATTTTATAAAATTAAATATGATTTTTTTTAATAAAATAAATTCAGATTTAATATTATCTCAAAAAAATATTTTTTGTGATTTTCTTTTTTTTCATTATAAAGCATTTATATTTGATTAATTAAAAATATATAATACTTTAAAAGTTAAATAATATTTTTAATAGATACATAATATACTAGCAAAAATTTGTATTAATTTATTATAAAAAAAACTTTTATTATTATATTTTTATAATTTATTATTATTTATTAATAATTTTTAACACAATTAGCTATAATAAATTTTGTCAAATTTAATTTTAAAATTGATTTATTTTTAAAACCTTTTAATAAATTTTATATATTTATTAATAAAGTTAATAAAAAATATATTAAACTATATTTTTTCATACATTACTATAATTTGGTAATAAAATTTTTTTGATTATAATTATTTTAAATATTTAAACATAATAAAAAAGTGGTTAAACTTATTTAAAATTGTTAAATTATTCAAACTATAATATTTTTTAAAGCTTAACAATTTAAAATGATTAAAAATATTATTAATATAATAAATAAAAATAAAGTTTATAATGTATAAAATATTTTAATTAATAAATAATTTTTTACATTAATATTTATATATTAAGTTATCATTTGTTTTAGTAATACAACATTGTATGATACACCAACTTCCACGATCCTTTTCTTTTCCCTGAAAATTTTCAATTATTCCAAATACGCTTAAACGGTTCGGAGAACTTCATTAATCTTTTCAAATATATTGTTTTTTTTTCCTTGAATTGTCATTGTGCATTTGAACTTTAAATAATTTTGACAATAGTCCATGTAACTTTATTATGTTTCAAAGGTAAATATCACAAAATAGTGATATTTTTATGGCAATAGAAACTAAATTGAATTGTTTATTCCAAAAGCAATAGCCAATCATCCGATAGACAAAAATCATTCTTTGCGCATCATGCGCTCCCTGAAAAAAAAGGGATGACCATAATTTAGGACCAAAATTTAAGTTGACGTAAGCCACTTTATGATTAAAGATTGAATGAAAAAATTATTCGCGATATCTTTTATAAATTCGGCTTTCTTATAATTTAAAAAGCATCTTTGTGATTCCCTAAACAGATAAAAAAAATTTGTTATCACCATAAAGAAACGTGCTTCTGGGAAGTGAACGTTCACTTCATTGTAAATATAATATAAATATATTCCCGACTTGTTCCATATTATTCGTTCTTTGATAAAGACCAACTGTAGAAAGTATATAAAATGAATACGGCTCAATCGGAACAGGATATGGCTAGCGCCTTTATGGACTGGGTATGTTTAAGGTTTTTTTTTTTTCTTTTAGAAAAATGCTTAGATGTCACAATTTAAAGGATGTTTTTTTGTTTTATGTTAATACGTGAGCGTTATATATAATTTTTTTCATTCTTTACTAGGCAAACACTTTTGATAAGCTTTCACGCCCGGTTGTTAATGTCAGTGACCTGGCTGATATTAATATATTAATAGATATAGTTGTAAACATGCAAGTATTATATTAGAAATTTTAAAATAGTTGTTGCTTTTGAACTTTATAGTAAGAAAATATCTCAACTTATATCTTAAATAGTGATTCAAAATGGTTTAAACTTTCTTCTGGTGAAGCTCGGGAAGATAATTGGGTGAACAATTTCAACAAGCTCAGAAGATTAGTCTTACTCCTCACACGTTATTATGAAGATATCCTTGGACTTCCTGCTAAAAAACTTGAATCTCCAGATCCTAGAGCTATTGCAAAAGATGGAAATTTAGTTGAGACAATGAAGTTGTATTCATTAATTGTGACTTTGGCCGTGAATCACGTTAATAAGGCAGCATATATTGAAAAAATTACACATTTAAACGCAAAATCGCAACAGGGTTTGATGTTTTCCATTGAACGGGTATGTGCTGTAAATTTAATTCTTAATTAAAATATATCAAATTTTTTAATTAGCCCTGTTTATATAAATTTAGGTTATGAACCGATTGGGGGAAACTACTGTCGAAGCACCACCAAAGAAATCATCATCAATCAACTTGTAATTAAATCTCTATATTTATTTATTTCGCTTATACAAGATTTAAGACTTAATTTATTATTATTATTATTATTATTATTATTATTTTATTGCGTGATTTTGTAGAGATGAAATTCATGCGGAACATGGAAAAATTATTGCTCAAAAAGAAGCCCTAGAAAAAGCACACCAAGCCTTAATGGAAGAACACACAGCATTGCGTGATCAATGTGTATGTAAATTTTCAATTTATTATAAAGCTTTAATAATAAATTTGAGATGAATTTCTGAAGATGAATAATAATATATGTGTATCAATAGGATGATTTGCAAGCAGAACTGGAAGAAACGAAACACAAATTGAAAGATATGGAACTCGCTTTAGCTCATTCTGCTCAGACCGGAAAAGCAGACTTTATTTTGAAAACAGATATTGATCGACTTCAAAATGAATTGCAAGCATTATTTTAAAAATTATCATTAATATATCAATTTCGGAAATAAATCACCGATTGTTACAATATTATTACTTTCTATACATTACAGGAAGAGATATGAAAAGCAAGTTGCAGAAAATCTGAAGAAACTCTCTGAAAAGGAGGCTGAAATAATTGATCTTTCTCGCAAGGTAGGTTTCTTCTCTTAAAATAAAAAAAAAATACACATTACATTATCTTTAATTATGTAAGAAATTTTTTTGTTAAACGATTGGTAAATAAATAGAACGAATTACTCTCCGAACAAGCAAATGAGGCTGCAAGACTAAAGGATCAAGTCGATGAATACAGACATGCTGCTGACGAGCTCAGGAGAAAAGAAAATGTCATTGATAAATATAAAAAGAAATTGGAAGAAGCTGCGGATTTACGGCGAAATTATAAGGTAGAATGCAAATAAACTTATCAAGGATCATAACATCATATGTTTTAAATATGATTTCATTCATAGACTCTAGAACAAGAAAATCGCACCCTTGCCGAACGTAATCAAGCAATTTTAGAGGAGTATGATAAAGTTGCTTGTTTCAAAGGATTAATGGAAAATTATAAAAAACAACTTGATGAACTTCAATCTGAAAAAATAGAATTGGTTAATCAAAAAAATAAATTCGAGTACGAATATAGGCACATGAAGGCAAAAATTGAAGCATACGATATGGCCCAATCACGTGATCAAGAGACCATACATTTGTTAGAAGATAGATTACGAGAATTAGAGTTAGGTGAAGGTAAACATATTAACTTATTTTATTTTTTTTTTTATCTCTAATTTCTTAGGAATTATTAATAGAATTTTTTTCAAAAATTTATTACACAGGAGAGCCTTTAAAATTAGATGATGAAAAAATTGAAGTAGATGATATTATTGACCATTCTATTAACGAACTTTCGGATGCTCTAAAAGGCGACACAATGACAAGTTTGAGATTGAAGATTAACGAACTTCAACGTGAATTATCTAGGTTACGCGAGGGTAAACCCTCGGATGATGATGCAAATACTCAACTTCTAGTATTAAAGCATCAAGTTGATGATGCAAATCGTGTCAAAGCTAGATTTGAAACGGTTAATATTTATTACAATATTTTGATACGTTTGTTATCCTTTAACGTTTTCATTTATATTGTTTATTGTTTTACAGGACTATGTTAAAGTTCAAAAAGAAAAACTTGTATTAGAATCTGAGCTTGAACGATTACAAGCAGAAATGTCCAGTTCATCTAACAGGTTAGTTTTTATATCAACTTATCTGTTCCTGAAAGCTTTAGACCAGTTATTTAATAATTTTTATTTTTATTTTCAACCGCGTGTTTACTATTAAATAAGTGTAAATAAAAAGGAACACAGGATAAGTTTCGAGAGAGATCAAAAGGAACTATTGGAGACTAGAAAGCAACTTCGAGAAACACAGATGAAATTAGATCGAGCTGAGAGGGAAATGGGTGAAGTCAGACCTGATTGTACGTGTGGTATTAAATTTGAGTGGCGAATTTTTCGTTTTTTTATTTGTGGTTCAAAGAAGAAATCAAAAATACAATAATGATTGTTCAGATAAGTCACGACTGTATTATACACACTTAATTTATTTACGACGTATTATAGTGGTTATTTTTTGACAAAATGATCAACAACTTAGACAAACATAATAAATTATTATATAGAATTTTAGACGGGAATTGGGAATTGGTTGTTAACTTGTTTTAATAAATGTTCATATTTTATTGTATATAATAGCTAACACCGAAGCTAGAATTAAAGCATTAGAGGATGAAAAGGAGAACTTGAGGATTCAAAATGAGTACGTTTAATATTTTAATTTTATTATTTTTATATTCTAATATATTATCTATTCTAATATTGTTTTCCATCTTTCCAGAGAATTGTCTTCTCTGCTTCAAAGTTTTGAAGATAAAAGCGAAGATGACCTTAAGAAACAAAATGTACAATTGCACAGAAAGGTTGAACAGCTCAAGACTTTGGTTACTGGTCAACACGAAATAATTGAGAATTACAAAAATGCAATTACTTCGTTCGAAGCAGAAAGAGAAGCTCATGTTGCTGAAGTTAAACGCTTAGAGGTAAGTTGGTTAACATTTTTGTTTCATTTAATTTACTGTACGCATTCTTATTTTATAATATTTTCCAGCAACTTCACAAAGAATCTAAAGAACAAGCACAAAAAGAAATTAGTTTGGTCACAAGTGCTTGGTTCAATATGGGTAGACGTATTCAAGGTGATCATGTTTTCTTGCAAAGGCAAGGACCTGCATCTTTTCTTAATCAACAACGTTTAATTCTTGATACGCAGGTGAGATTTATATTTAATCAAAAATTCGTGACATTGAAAGGTCCAGTATTGTTGGCGCAGTTTTTTTTTGTAATACGTATTAATTAAACATTGATTGCGCAGCTAAAACGGCGGTGACTAGTGATGCTCGAATTGTTGGAACTTATTGCTAAAGCGCATTGAAAATATAGGGAATTTTCTTACAATTGACTTAGCCGGAACGAACATTAAGGTTATGTGAACTTAGATCCAGATATTTGGCTTAGGTCACGATTTTACAATAATTCACCTAGTACACGATTTATTTTAACATAAATTGTATCACAAATCAAGGGGATATCTATTTATGTATATTGCTTGTTCCTTTTTACGCTCTTTTTCTTTCGACTTTACCCCGAAACACCGTTCTTTTCGAGTTCCAGCATTTCAGATATTTTAAATTGTTTATTATTATTATTATTATTATTATTATTATTATTTACCTTCTTCGATATTTTTTTAAAAAAAATATATTTCACTATTAATGAGTTTTTTTTTTTTTTCTTTTTCTTTTTATTTCGTTGAGGGGTTTATGTATAAATTGTATTTGAGATATATCAGATCATATTACTCGTATACACATATATATATTGTTTTTTCGTAAATACACACACTATGTTGTACTAAGTAAATAAGGAAGTGTTCCTATAGATGTCAAATAATCTGTCTGGTTGATTGTGGGGGGATTTGAAATGTGTTTCTGATATAATGAAATTAAAGTTCATTTTGGTGATTTTGGTAAGATGGTTATGTTATGAAGCCCATTAGGTAATGATTTATGTATCAAAGGCGTAATTCGGTAACAAGGACTTATGCAATATGCAAATTTCTTCGGAATACTGCACAATGATGTATAGGGGGGAACAGTACAATCGTATCTACAATAGGAATTAAATTGTTTTACTTGTATTGTCTTGTATCCTAAATATATGTTCTTTAATATCGTTTGTAATTAAACGCCTGCATTAAAGAGAATGTAATTATTGTTGTATATATAAGTACATTTTCATTCAATGTGATGTACTTTACGTATGTCAAACCAAATGAGTATTTATTATGTATCATATCCACGATAATGATGTGTTTTATCCGGTTACACGACATACAAGAAATTTTGACAACTTTATCAAGAACCCTGAAATTTCACGGAATCAGATTATTTGGCGTAAAATAAAGTGATAAATCGAAATAAATAAAGTTATATTAATTTTTTTTGAACGCACCGACCATTTTTTAAAAAATGGGACTTTTCTAGATATTGTGCCAAAAACCGGAATAACAAGATTGTAGGTCCAAAAGATTTTTGATGCATGCAGGCTTTAAAGATGTTACTTATATAACTTTTTTTTTAAAGAATTCAATCGATGAATTCAATAAAAGATTAAACTAAATTTATATTATTTAAATTAAAATTGTAACTATCATATTTAGGTTAAATTATAAGTTAGTTAACGATTTCGATTTGTTATTTTTAATTGCAATTATAAATTATAAAGGTTTGTTTAATAACATTCGTTTATTAAATTTAATTATTAATTGATAAATTAATTTCATTTTTTTTGTAATATTGAAAAATTATAAAGATAATTACAATCATCCGCTTCCTCAATTATCTCATAAGTTTCTTTATTAATCTGATTTAAGTCAAATCAAGAATAAATGAAAATGATAACATTTATTTACATATGCAATTTTTTTTTTATTAAATATATTGTCATTTTCATAATTATTTTACATTAACATTTTTTTATTAGAATATTTAGAAGTATAATATTCTATTTTATAATATAAATTACATTATTTTTACTAACTTCATTATCTTTTTCTTTATAACTAATATTAACCTTTTAGCTTTGCTGATACTTTTTACTTTAATACTGTATATGCTTTATTAAAAGTATTCAATTATTTATTCTTAATTCTTTTAGCAATATAAAATATAGAAGATAACATAACGCTATCTAATTATTATTATTAAGTAAATAATTTAATATTACTTATAATAATCTATAATTTTACCATAATTTATTTTCTTTTATATTTGATACAAAACTTGAATGTTTATAAATATTTTTATAATGTTTAGAATTAAGTATTATTGTTAAAAATATTTTAAGAAATATTATTATTAAAAAATTTAAAATAAAGATTATGTATTAATTAGTTATAATTAGTAATGTTGTAACTAGTTACTGTGTCATCTTTAGTATAAAATATATGAAATCAATGATTTTCTATATATTATCCTATTCTTTAAACTGTAAGTATGAAATTGTTTTAAAACATTTTAGAAAACTTAAAATATTTTGATATGCTAATAAAAATTTGAGCAATTGGTAAACTATTAATACATACTTGACCAAAATTGATTTATACAGGATGATCTCATCTTATATCCTAGAGGTTAGAATCAGCTGAAAATTCTTTAATTAATAACTGGTTAAAATATTTGTTAATGATTAATTAATCAGTTAAAATTAACTTTGGTCAGTACTATAAATTTGGTCAGAGTTAGACAATATTTTGCAATCATAAAAATCTTAATTCTGACCGAAAATAGAATTTTAACCAGATTTAAATTCATCTATTTTAACTAGTATAAGCATCAAAATCCATGATTTACAAATGTATGATATTTTATGAGTTTGATAGCTTCAATAAGAGCTGTACTTTTCTGAACTATTTCTGTCACTTATATTCAAGAGGATTTGTTTTACAAATTAATTTTATTTGTCTAAGAATCTAATTTCTGTTTATTTAATTTATTTTAATTTATCTAGTTCTTCAATTTCATAATTTTTTAATTTCTGATAATTCTATTTTCATTATATCAGCATCATTATCTTCCTAAATTCTTATCTTAATTATTCTTTTAAATTTCATTATATTGTTATATTATCTTTTAAATCTTCAGATTCAATATTAATAGTATTCTCTTTTAATCTTAATAATTCTTTATCTTCTATTTATTCTTTATTATTAGATCTTCTGTTCGATTATTTTATTATTATTGATAGAATCCAAATTTTCAAAGACCTATTCTTTCTTATTTTCATAAATCAGCTTGAACTGTCAATTATATGAACATTTTAAATCTGCCTCTCTGTAAATTTAATAATTGATCAAACAATTATACTTTGAATATACAATCAAATCAAATCTCAAAAGTTTTATATGCTAATACATTAAAAAATAGTTCTAATAATCCAAAATAATAATTAAGTTCAACTGATACTACATCAATTTTAAAAGATATCTTAAAACAGCTAGATGATATTAATAATAAGCTGATTATTTTTGCTGATAAAGTTGTCTCACAAAAAATAAAATAATTATTCTTCAAGAAAATCAAAAAGATATTGACTATCATCTAACTAAATTAGAAAAATATAATAATATAGTTTATACTAAGGGAATATATAACAATAAAATGGATTTTAATAATTTTACTAACTCTTTATCTAAATCTTTGCTTGATTAGCCTCTACTGATTTTTCTCAAATGGCATCTCTCCTTTAGAAAAGTAATCAGTATTAAAAATTAATTTGCTGAATCCTGCTCAGAAATTAAGAATATCACTAATAATATCTAACAAATCCTTTAAACGCTTTCATCTTTCTCTAAATGAATATCTATCATATAAATAATATATAGGATTATATCACATAAATCTTAATAATAATAATACACTTTAAATAATACTTTCACAAATATTATTAATAACCTAATTCTCATTTCTTTCATAACACATAATGTCAAAAATTGTTTTTCAAATTCTAAAATATAAAACATTAATTTTTTTTTTAATAATTTCAACATAGATATATTTAGACTAAGTGAAACTCATTTAAACTTATTATAAGCTATCATTTTAGTAAGAACCTCTTTTAAATATTTCTTTTACTTTTCTAATAATTATCAAAATTATTAAGATATTGAATTAATGATCTGTATAAATTTAAGCATACATATCTTTAATTAAAAATCATTTTTGAATATATTATATTTCTTAATTTTCAATTCAAAAATAAATTTAAACTTAAAGTCATTTAAATATATATTACCAGCTTTTTATAATAATAAAAAAAATTTTTAATATCATCTTCAAATTCAAAAAGAATTAATAAATATATTAACAGATAGTCTATATCTTAATTTTCATATTGTATTAATAAGAAATTTTAATATTGATATAAATAGAAGATATAGATCTAAATTCTAAAAATAGCTGCAGAATTTTTTACTTAATATTCTCAACCTAGGTTTTATTTATATTCTTATTCCTTTTCAATCTACCTATCTCCTTACTTTTCACTTCTCTTCTTCATATGTTTCAATCTCTCATATAAATTATATATTTATCTTTACAAAATTTTTACATGACCTTATATCCTTAACAAATCTTATTATTTATATTTTATAAATCATTACCCTTTATTCATCACTCTTTGCAAAAAAAACTTTTTCAAAAATAATATAAGATTACAAAACAAAATTTCCTTTATAACAAAACTATTTATTTATATTAGAGTCTTTTTTGATAAAGCTGATCTGTTACTCAGACAAAATATTATATTTAATAATATTTTAATTTAAGATTTGTGTAATTTAAATAATTCTATTAATGAAACTTAGGAGTTTTATACTCATATTGTTATAACATCAACTTTCAAGTATATTCTTAAATAAATCACATTTGTTTATTACAATTCACTTTATTTATATTTAAATTTTACTATTTACAAATAAATTAACAAACTTTGTAAATTATACTATTAATATAAAATTCATATGTTTTCTTCTTCCTTTCTCAATACTATTTCTTGTAAATCTGTATAAATTGTTCGTATTCTTATTGAAAGATCTTGCCTCTACTGTGACAGGTGAAACTACAAGTTGATTTTTATATAGTTGCTATAACTCCAGGATGCCAATGCTACCAACAGATTCCTATTCGTATCTTGTGAAAGCATATACTGATTCTTTGAGTCAAATTCCTGTTATAGCTTCAATATCTTTTTTTAACATTCACAAATCCTATCAATGATGTTTTAAACGAAATCTTCTTTACTCTCTGACAGTGTCTCTGATAGTTTGACTTCTAAGAGATTGTTAATACTGTGAGACGATATATAGAATTTCCTTTAAAAGCATTATCCAAGTTGACAGTTGATTTAGATGTTTGAATAGATATTTTGTTTATTTCTTAAGATTCATTAATTTTCTCAAAACTTAGATATTTATTGAGTAAAAGATACACAGGCTATCTACTATTATGCTTACTGAAATCTTCGCAACATCTATTTCACTTCTATCCATTATAGATTCCCGTTCTAATTTTACAGATATTACTGTTTTTCTTATCTAATTCTTCTAAAGTATTTGTACAGAAATTTAATCAACAGTTATATGAAAAAATAATATACTTTATATATACCAGTATGGCTTTAGAAAGGTTTTATACAGAAACCTTGATGTTTTGTTCCTCTTTGACAAAATTTTTATATAACTTCATAACTAGAAAATAAATAATTTTTGCTAATTTAGCTTTGTAATTTTATAGGAACACTTTCCTTTAAAAGGAATATAATAGTTATTATATATATTCACTATTGTATTATATAAACATTTTATATATAAGGTATTTTATTAAAGACATTTAATTTATCATATAAGATAAAGTTTTTTATTCAATCTGAATTAGTAATAAACTATTATACAATTTTTAGTCATAAAGAATAAGTAATTATTACATTACTCAGATTACCAGTGATTTTCTTGCAATTTTGTTCAAGACCTTTTACTTTCAGTGAGTTTTACTAAAGTCAATATTGTTAATTTGTGATTCGTTTAAGAATCAGAGAAAGATTTTTATTTGAGTCTTCTTGAGTAATAGGCATTTTGGTAATGAAACATTTTCTCCTAAGTAGAAAGAATATCAAAAAATCTGAAAAATCCCTTCATATATTTAGAATAGAATCTATTTAAGGATGTTAACAGTTTGATCAGTTCAGTTTCAGTCCAATTTTTATCAATTTGAGGGTAAAATCAAACTGGATCAGTTTATAGACCAATTTGGAGTCTAGACTAAAATTTAGATCAGAGTTTATATATACAGTATATTGTAAAAATCTTTGACAAAACTATAAAAAATTGTGCAATACTTAATATTCCCAATACAAAAATTTTATTATAATACAAATTATACAAAAATTTTTTTTTTTGCGATCTATTATTACCAAAACATTATTTTTAGCAAGCTTTTGAATTAAAATAATTTCACCTTATTTATGCTTTTCAACAAATTTATAAATTTTCTACTATCCTTTTTTTCAAAATCCAATACTTCATACAAATAATTGCCTTTGCTGTTTCAGGATTTAACCTGTTTCTAACTTTTGAGATAGTTAAGCCTAAAATTGAAAAAGCTCTTTCTGATAGAATCGATATTACTTAGATTGATAAATAATTCTTAGCTATTTGAAACAATATCAAATAATCTTTTTCATGAAATTTTTACCAAATTAAAGGATTGGCATCACTATCTACTGGAGAATTTAGATATCTATCTAATTTATTACAAGTCATTCTTTGATAATTATTTTGATTAAGCAAATTAAGAAAGTGCTTGAGATGATAACTTTTTTTTTGAATTTGTTTGATTATTAAAGGGAGAATATATACTATATAATTTTTGTAAATTATTAATAATTCCAGCTAAGTCATTATTATCAAACTAGCCAGTAAATTTTTATTCAGTACCCACAGGGTAAGTAATATGATATAGACAGTAATACAGAAAATTAAAAAAATATAGTAGAATAAATAAAAATGATTTATTTAGTGTAACTGATAATATGAGATTAATTATAATATTTATATTTAGAGAAAAGTTGAGATACATATTTTTATTTGATATTTTTAAAGATTTACTAAAAAAGTTATTATGTAATATAATGTAAGAATGATTATACAACTATAAAATCAGTGAAAATTAGTATTCGCAATGTGGTTGAATCTTTAATATTTTGAAATGACTTCTTAGGTCAAATTTGAATCTTATTTTTGTGTTGAATAATTTATGCTTAAAAGGCAATCAATCAATATTAAATTTCAATTTAATAAAATAATAAGCCCAATTAAATATTAATTTAAAAGTAATAAGTTACCTAAGTCAATCCATCAAATCATTTACTTTTTACTTTTTTGATTAACATTTAAATAAAATTACAAACTATCACAAAAAGGAAGAAAAATCTATATATATAACTCACATCCGTAAGAAGGAAGGATAAGGTATTATCATTCTAAATCTAATATACAGTAGCGATCAAAAGTATTGCATCACCTGAATACAAAATTTAAAATGGAAATATCTTGTAATTTAAAAGGCACAGTACTACAATACTTAAATATAGAGTTTGTCATACCTTAATCTTTATCAATCTCTTTCATCTTTTTTTTTAAAAATATATATTTTTTTTGTTATGAATCTTTCGCCAAAGTGGTGATGCATTTCTTTTGATCAATTTAAGAAATAAATATCGACACTTATTACGTGATTTTTTTTTGCTTTAAAACAACTATACAACACATATAAAAAAGATGCCTTATGGCATTTTTCGCCTTTTTATAATTTTATAAAATATCTATGGTTTACCTTTCTGTTAAAAAAAGAGCTAGGATTTGTGTCTTATTTGATGAAGATTTTCCCTCCCGCTATATAACAAACAAGGAAAATGGTTCTTAATCAATTGTTATAAGAACTAAGCAACATAAAGATAAAACTGGTAACAATAAAAACAAACCTAAATCTGAGCATTCGCGACTCTTAACTGATCGATATGAACAAAAAGTTTTGAGATTAATTACAACAGATAAATGTAGCAATGCTGTTACAATTCAAAAAAAATTAAAAATAGAAGAACAAATTGAAGTTAGTGAATGTACAGTAAAGAGAACCTTACATAAAAATGGAATAAGTGCAAGGGTTAAGTGCAAAAAACTATATCTTCGAAAAACACATGGAATCGTAAGGATAAAATTTGCAAAAAAATACAAGTTATAG